AGAACAGAACTTGTAAGAGTTTCTGAGCCTTTGCCAAGGACTTCCTTTTTTTCACCTTGAGGTAAATAGGAAGCCACTCAATAATTTTGTTCTGTGCAGAAGAGTGACAGGATCTAACTTATTGTTAAGAACATCACTATGGTTGCTACATTGAGAGTAGACTGTGGTCAGGCAAGTGTAAAAACACAAGAACCTGCTAGGAAGTATTGAAATAATTCAAGTGACAGATAATGGTGATTGGTGAGTAATTCATGTGAAAAGTTGCTGCTGCAGTTAATGAAAAGTGGTGGAGGTCTGTATAGATCTTGAAAATAGAGACTGCAAGATTTGTTAATGGATGGGAGCTGGTATATAAAGAGAGAACTCAACAATATTTATAAATATTTTTGGCCTAAACAACCAAAAGGAAGGAATTTTAACTTGCTGATAGAGGAAATTCTGTGGGAATAAAAGGGTAGAGGGGAGATGGGAAAATCAGAAGCTAAATTCGGGGCAAATTTATTTGCCTCAAATGGTGATATGGAGTTATACAAATTAAGAGAAGCGATCAGATTGGAGGTAAGGGTTTTGAGACCTACGACACTAAATGAGATTCCTGCAAGAGTGAATATATATATATAAAAAGAAAGAGATCTGATCTGAGGTTCAGCTGCAGGGTACCCCTTACATGTCAAGTCTGGAGAGGTGAGGGAGAATCAGCAAAGGAGATGGAAAGCAGTCAGTAAAGTGGGTGGCAAATCAGGAAATGTACTCCTGTGGAAACCAAGTGAAGAAAGTGTTTAAAGGAAAAATAAATGATTACTTATATCAAATGATGCCAGTTGGGTCAAGAAAGACAAAGACTGAAAATTGACTACTGGTTTAACAATGTGATTAATATTTCTTCTCACTGGGGAGAAAAAGCAAATGATGAAACTGAACAACCAGACATGCTGCCTCATTTAAAGTCCTCCTTACGTACTGCTGGCTCCCATAGTTTCCATGAACTGACTTGATTTTGGAATTCTTTATTTTATTATGCTCCAGTAAAGGAAAATCAGAAGCTAAATTCGGGGCAAATTTATTTGCCTCAAATGGTGATATGGAGTTATACAAATTAAGAGAAGCGATCAGATTGGAGGTAAGGGTTTTGAGACCTACGACACTAAATGAGATTCCTGCAAGAGTGAATATATATATATATAAAAAGAAAGAGATCTGATCTGAGGTTCAGCTGCAGGGTACCCCTTACATGTCAAGTCTGGAGAGGTGAGGGAGAATCAGCAAAGGAGATGGAAAGCAGTCAGTAAAGTGGGTGGCAAATCAGGAAATGTACTCCTGTGGAAACCAAGTGAAGAAAGTGTTTAAAGGAAAAATAAATGATTACTTATATCAAATGATGCCAGTTGGGTCAAGAAAGACAAAGACTGAAAATTGACTACTGGTTTAACAATGTGATTAATATTTCTTCTCACTGGGGAGAAAAAGCAAATGATGAAACTGAACAACCAGACATGCTGCCTCATTTAAAGTCCTCCTTACGTACTGCTGGCTCCCATAGTTTCCATGAACTGACTTGATTTTGGAATTCTTTATTTTATTATGCTCCAGTAATCAATTCCTTATGTCTGTGCTTTGTCTAAGTTCAAGTTGGTATTTTCAGGTTGATCTTTAAAAAAGTTATATGAGGGAGATAAGACAATATTATTATCATTGTTTTGTAGAAAATGCACTTTTTAGAGAAGATAAATGTTTCATTGTCGCACCTCTGGTTAGTGGAAAAGTGGTGACTTCAGCCCAGGTCTCTGATTTCTAGAAACTTACCCTGCTCCTTTAATTTTCAAAACAGACTGGCTGATGCCTCCTTTCTTGTTCTTCAGACCTTCCTTTATGCATTGCCCACTTCTATTCATTCTTTCTATTTATTCTTACTTGATCCCTTGAAATTTGGTCCTTAGATTTTTTTTTAACAGTTGTATACCTTGACCTTTAAGGACAAATATCAGTTTGACTTTAGAGCTTCAGGAAATCTGGATTTTTGCCAGGCACCAAATCCAGAGAACAGTTTCATATCCCCTCATGTCCACCCTTCCCTGCAGGATTTACTTCCTCTTTTGCACAGGAGAAAGGCTGGGTAAATGATCTGAGCAGTACCATGGAACATATATCTGCCCATTCTCTTATTACAAAATAAAGATTGTACAGTCCAACACCCGAATACTCAGTAAACCCTATGAGTATAATCTCATATGTCATCACATACATGTCCTCTTTCTTCTTCCTGATTCTTTCTAAGCCTTTTGCTTCCTTCCACCCTTGGTTCAAACCCTATGAAGTGTAGAGAACCTCAGCAGCATGAGATCATGCTGCTATGAACAGCCATCGTCCATCCGCGGCCAGACTTCCCAGGGAGAGGAACTCACTGCCTCAAGTTCATGCACATAAGCATGGACTTGGATAAAATTATTGGATTAATCACAATTTTTAAATAAAAAACATAAATTACAAAACTCATGCAGGTGGTGGATTGCATCCGTGTCAGTTTCCTTGTGCTATTGTACAATAGGCAAGATGTTGCTGCTGTGGGAAACTATTTGGGAATCTGCAATTACCTCAAAATAAAAAGCCTAAAGTGTTATGCAGTTTAAAGGGACATCCATGGGCAGAGTTCTTTGCCCAAGCCCATCAAGTCGTTGGGATGCCGGGAAGGGCATGCACTAGTGAACGTACTGCTTTACACCAAAATCTAGCACACTGGCCTTTGGGAGTATGAGAAAGTCACCAAAGTAAGCAGATAGATAGCAATCTGGAAAGCAAAAGGTGATGATAGATATGAGTTTTTACTCATACAAAATGAAAGTACTGTTTGCAGAATTACTGTGACATAGACTGCCTCCAGTCTGCTGCCATACTCCCAGTCAGTCACCTGCTGCAGGAGCGTGCATTTTTTCACAAGAATTTCTCTCCATATATATCTGTTTGGTCATAGTTCCCGTTTCTAAGGCTAAAGCAAACATGCTGCCCTTGTTTTCATTTCATCTCTGCTCTGGTCATCTGGCCTTCCCTTCCTTTCCCAGGAACTCTCAAGTTCATTGACTCCACTGACGGAAGTCAGGCCTCCGACCGCCTGATAAATAAGTTTTCCAGTGAAAAGCCTCTTTTTTCATTCTGTTTAATTACAGCCTTCAGAGACACTCAAAATGGAGGGTGTCTTAGGGACAAATAATACTGTAGGCTTGGTTTACTTATCTCCTGTTGGCATTGGCACCAAGCCCTTCCTCTGCTTTGAAATTCATGGCTGTGTCTGTGGCTGCATACTAAACAGACCCGAGGCCACACAGCCTGCTTAGCCTGTGCAGACACAGCTCGACTAATCCATATGCCTTAACGGCCAATTCAGAACAGTAGTTTACATAACTAACACAGCTGGTTTGTTTCTAGTGCAGCCTATGTATGTGATCATAAGTGAATTAATTCATCTATTTTCATTTGAATTGGATTTGGTAAAGTATACTGGAGTTTCAGTTACAACATACTAGTTCTGAATTCCAGATGATTGACTTCAAATGTGGCCCTTACAACTGTATGTCTGTGTAAAATGATTAGATGGAAGAATTAGTAAAATCAAACGTAAAAGAAACTAACAGTGAAAAGTAAATTTCCCTCCTACTCTTGTTTCCTTAGACTCTCATTTCCCTTATACAGAGAAATTCCATTTATAACTTTAAGAAGAGACATTCTATGAATGTATGAATATATACATATGTAGGTTTTATATAGAAAGAAAACACTGTAACTATACTTTCCCACTTATTGCATAAAAAGTAGCAAGATGCACAGTGTTCTATAATGTGTTCCTTTTCCTTAATGATAACTCTTAGAGGTGTTTTCATATCAGCATCTGTGATCTGCTCCCACCTTCTTAAACAGCTACCTAGTATTCTTTTGAGTGGCTATGATCATTTTGTTTTTAACCAGTCAAATTTTGACAAACATTTGCTATTTCCATGGTTGTGTTATTACTAAAACTGCTTGGGTGAACAGCATTGCATGTATAGTAGTATCTGTAGGGTACATTCCTGGAATTCTTGCCCAAAAGGCATATTTGGTTGTTAGGTTAATAGATATTGCCTAAGTGTCTTCCAAAGAGGCTATAGAGTTTTTCCAACCATATGAGAGGATTTGTCTCTCCATATCTATATCTCCTCACTATATTATAATCATTTTTTTTTGAATTTCCCAATCTGATTATAATTGTGAGCTATATTTATCTAATTATGAATGTGGTCAAGCATCTTACATATGATTTGTTACATTCTTTCCACCTACTCACTCAGCTCTTTACCTTTCACTGAACAATATCTGTTTCTGGTTTGAAATGGCAGCTGAAGTAAATCTCTGTGTTTACTGTAACTTATTTCTGACTCCTTTATTCTGTTGTATTTGTCTTACCATTTATGTCCATCAATTTTATAAATTTCTATATTTATAATGTCTTAATATTCTGTAATTTAGTGCCTCTTTATCATTCTTTCTCAAAATTTCCCTAGATTTTTTGCAAGCATTTTTGTTGGCAGTTGTATTGGAACTGTCTCATTAAAGTGAACATTGAAATATACCCTATATAAAAGTAGGACATGGTCATTATGAGACAGGGAAAGCTTTATGCCCAAGGTTGGGTTAGACCTGGGACTGAAAATGAAGTATAGGGAAAGAAAAGTAAAGAGGAGGAACAAATGGAAGAAAACTAAATAAATGTTCCAAATACAAGATTCCATATAAAATTCAGAAATACCCTGGCATAAAACATGCACTTAAATGTCCTAAGTCATTTAAGCAGCCAGCTATTTTTGTAGGTCAGCATATATAATCCTTGCTTTTAAGGGCTTGATAAACAATACCAATGTCTGACCTTAGGCTGGAATTCCTTGAACTCTAAGTACCTGTGAGTACGCACCCAACATTCCTGGCCCCAGCACGCACTTTCCCAATCACAAGGAGCCATCACTAACGAGCGCCCTGGGAGGAAGCATAACTTAGAGAGAGGCTAAGGGAGACAAACACAGACGGCAAAGCACCACCTTCAAGCAGCTTGTCCTTTAAGTATGTGGAGAACCAGACCTTTTAGTTTCACCTCGGTGATCTCAAAAATAGGAACCTTGTGTTTGCCAATCCAGGTAACCTGCTCTCTTTCTGGGAAAAGACTTTCTAAGGTTCTCGAAGGACCTGACTTGGTATAGATTTGTTCTTTGGGTAACATAACTACTCCTACATTTAAAAGATTTCCTTTAAGAAAGTGTTACCAATACCTTATGATTTATTATATTCCATGACATTAGTCTTATGTCTCCTTTATTTAGTTCTATTGCTACTGAACTACTACAATGCAATTTAATGTCTGCTGAACTTTACTATGCTGTAAAATGTTTTTATAAAAAATGCTATTGAAATAGCAAAATGCTATGGCACAATTAATTTAAGATAGGTTTATTTTTGCCTGCAACCATATTTGAGGCTTGACAGTTTTTCAATGTAGACAGAATCATCTTAGAGTTTATTTCAGTTCCTCTGCTCCAGCATTTCATTCAGACTAATACCTATATCTCTGTATCTGTGTTATTTGAATGCAATGTATCTGGAAGATTTATGTCTAAAACACAGTAAGGCTTTGCTCACCCTTTCGGGATAACCCTAAAGTCTGACCGCTAATGCACCACTAGTGAGGTGTTAATAACGGGAAACTATGTACTCCTTGCTAAGAGTACAGAGCACAAGAAGACGAGGAAGTGGCTTGAAAGTGAAATGCTGATTTTATTTGTTTATCTGTTAAGCTGGATCCCAAATGATTTCATCTACTCATAAATAAACTTTACGGACAGAATTTGAATGTTCATTTTCCTCCCAGTTAGCATGCAAATCTGCTTGCAGCATTCTAGCAAAAGAGAGTGCAACTCATTTTCTGTGCTTATAAATTGTTCATTACCAAGCTCTTTGATGGCCAATTCCTGGCTCCATCTGCAGCTCCACAAATATCTTTGCCCAGATAAACTTGGTGGGGTAAATATACAGTGCCAAAGAAGATGTATTTGGAATTAAGGAAACAAAAGACATACCTCTCACAAAATTCCCAAGTCTATCATTTTAAATTTTGTAACTTCTTACTTGTATTTATATTTGTATAACATAGTCCAGAAAATACTTCACTGATGTCGTCAACCCAATTTTTAGGACTACCTATAAATAACACTTAAAGATTTTCTCACTGTACAAGGAAGGAATATCAGCTCAAAGGAAAAGCAAGCATACACACAATGAAACCTCTAGCTAGGAGTACTCTCTTCCCTTGTGACGTGAGTTACCGTAACTCATAAGGCTTAACACAGAGAACTAAGATCATTGTGTTGGAATGCTTAGGGTCAGGGTCTTTTAAAACAAAACAATCAAGGTTATTTTCTCCTCTTTGGTGAAGGTAGAAATGTAAATCTCAATGGTTCATGTGACCTTAAACTGATTTAGCTTTAGCGTGGGTTAAAGTTCACTCCTTCATGCATATATTTAACACCCACTAATGCTGATGGTATGGAGTTCTGTTGTCATGTAGAGAGCGAGATTCCTTTGTGTGAAAATAATACATATAAACAAAACTCCTTCTACCTAAAATGTGGAAACAGAAAAAAATGCAAGGTGCACAAAAGATCTTTAAAGCAAGCAAAATATGCCTATAGAAAAAGCAAAAAGTGTTTTCACATCTGTCTATAGTGGTGTGCAGGACAGGAATCTCCCTCACAATGTATGTCTCCTGTAACTGCTGAACTGAAGAATCTACCCAGAGATTTTTTTCAATTAAAACGCTGTGTGTACCAACAATAGACTCAGCTATGGAGCTTTTAATTAAAAAAACAAACAAAATGATTTAAACTCACATTGCCTCTAGGCGCTGTTTGTATTAAAGGATCAGACTGATGAAATGTTTGGATTTTATTGTTCTAAACATGTGTTTCAGTTGGTGCTCTCGGACCCACTCTGTGAAGAAAATGAAATGTGAGTAAACAGCAAAAGGCTCCATGCTTTTATTTAGCACTTTCAAGATTCAAAAGATAAAAAAGGTTCAAATCATTTAGCCCCAAATGAGCTTCAAATGATCATCATAATCATGCAAGAAAAATACAAGTAAACTGTTTTAAATGCAAATGGGCCAAATTTTCTAAAAGCAGAAAAGATACAATTTCATGACAATCAGCTTTGTGACATAGGTAAGGGGCCTTGTTAATTTCTACCATTTATTTCTGCTCACTGTATTCTCCACCCTTGAGGTTTCAAGGGCTCCTTAAGCTTAGGAAAGAATTGCAGTGTCCTCTGGCTGCATCTACACCCAAAAGGCACGGTGATGATGGGAGGCAGTTTTCCAGATAATTCAGTCTCAAATATAAGCAAACTAACAAATTCTAATTTGTATTATGTGTACATTTCAAAGTGCTTTTGATATAAATTATGTGAATAATTTACTCAATTTTCTCACTTCTTGTGCTGTAGACTTACTTAACGGTTCCCAGAATTCTATTCGGAAGATGAGGAGAAGGCACTATTAATAATCCTGTTGATGATTAATGATAACTGTAATGCAATGTGACTTACTGCAAGTGTCACAAAAGCACTTCTGCCAAGCACTGTCTTCCCCCCAGGTGCAGCCCTCTTTGCCAGCTAGATGTTTTCAATTACCATTGGCTGTTACCCTCAAGGCCAGGGTCTCTGGGCGCTGACTCCAGATTAAGAGGCCATGCTGAGTGGGAAGCCCTGAAATCGTTCACCTGTTTCTGGTAGATCACCTCATTATTGATAAGATGAAGTTTGTGCTACTCTTTCAGCTTTTGCCATGACTTTCCATTGCTGCTTCTTTACATTAATTTTGACTCACTTTGTTCTCTCTTTTCTGATGTTTGTGACATAATGGAGTTCTGATTATTGGTGTACCTACCTAACTCTAGACCTCATGGCTGCCTCATCATACCCTGCTTCTTCTTCTGCCTTTGACCCAGAATAATAGAATAAAGAAATTCATAATGGGAAAGGATCACAAACGATGAATCTAACTCTTCAATCAACATAACAGGAAACTATGGTACTGAGGAACTTGATAAGCTGGCTTTAGAGTCACTGAGGCTACTGGTCTCCTTTTCACGTGAAGAAATTGAGACCCAAAGAGAGATAGTAACAACTTAATTACAGGAATTCAACTTATACTTAGGTACAATCTTTTTTAGTTAACTTACTTTGCATGTAGGTGTCTGTGACATTTGTCATTATTTAATGCCATTGTTTTTGAGTAAGAACAAGAAATTACATCAAATAAAATGAAAATTCATGGAAAATAAAGACAGGGAAGGCAAGAAAGTGGCTGGTATTGTAGGCAGATGATGTAAGGTAAGCATATGTATTAAAGTGAGACAGTATCTCAACTCTTTTGACATCACAGAAAGGTAATTTTTGTTCTATTTAAATGTTTTCAGACACCAGACTAGTTTTTGTGATCTAACTTCCTCAATTTATCATTATATCAGCATTCTTAGTATGTGCATTGCCATCCCATCTTTCTATAAAATTTAAATACTGCAAGTAATTTAGTGTATAAAATAAAACATGACTGAGTTTCTCTGTAATTACAGCTCTAATCCTTTCGCTTTCCCCAAAATAACCAAGTGCACTGATGTGCATGTGTGTATATAAGTAGGGTAATTTATAAAACACAAATACAATCATACATATACAGGATTTTGTAAATTAATTGTATTAACAGATTCCTAATTATATGCCACCATCTTACCTGGCTTGGGGAAGTTAAGTATTTTCCTCAAGAGTAAGCAAGCAAATGGCAGAGCATGGATTTACACCTAAGACTAATTCCTGAGCCCAGAATTTTTACTATGAAGCCATATTGTGTACCTAATGTTTACATGAAATCATACACCAGGTGAAATGCCTCAGGGAAATATAGTCCATCCATTCTTCTAGACACTATAGAATTTAGATCAGGCCATCAATCTCTGGGTGATATGACCTGGCACTCATCTCTCCTCCAAACTGTTGTAGCTGAATTGCACTTTGGCTTATGTTAAGGAATGATTTAAAAAAAAAAATGACAAAGACCTATGAAATCTGGTATTGCACTTATTCAAAGTGTACAATGAAAAACATTGCTCCTCTTGTTAACAATGCCCTCTTCATACAGCCCCACAATTTGAATTTTTCTGTGGTTTCTATACCAGAAATAGTTATGCATCTGATGAGTAATGCTGTCTATTTTTGTTAATATAACCAGTTTTCTCTCTTATCCTATTAAGTGCTAGAAAACTTAAGCCAAAAGTGGAGTTCATTTCTAATTTATACATGGGATTTACCACATTCAGTTTACAAATCAGTCTCACTCCTGGCTTATTTTCTTTGTCTGATACTCTCCATCCTCTCATTTCCAATTTCTTTTTTTGTATTTTTAATATTTCCTCACGGCATTTTGGAAGGCAAGATATTGAATGCATTCAGGCAGTACTCCACATAGTAATATGAGGTTAAAGCTGGCTTTGTACTAGTCCCACAATCCCAGTGCTATGTGGTAAGAGACGCAGACTCCATCGCCAGACCATTTGGCTTTAAAGTTTGCCTCTGCTATTTCCAGCAGTTGTGTTGAGAAAGTTACCTAACTTCTCTATGACTGAATTTTCTCAACTGTAAAATGAGAATTGTAATATTGTGACCCTGTCTTACAGCACTGTAAATTTGAAAGTGAGTTAATTCACATGAAATTATACAACTAGTTTAAAAGAATGCCTGACACAGGAAATTCTGGGTGATTCTAACAGAGGAGCCAATGGAGTGGCTCTGCAGTTTTCTCCTTAAATCTTGGTCCTGTCCCCCACTAATTAATTTTAAAAGGTTTTATTGGTGATCACTTGTCTGAGGATGATTTTTAAAGTCATGCTTTAACTGCCATTTTTTTCTCAGCCTCTTTTACCTGGTTCTTGGCTAAACTCAGTAAGGTGCACACCCCCAATCCATCCCTTCAAGAAAACCAAACACAAAACACAAAAACCAAAAACTTGTCTGGGTGATTGACTGTTGTCTTAAATGTCTGGGGTAAAATTTTTATGTTGATACTTCATGTATGTTAAAAAGTCATTTCTGACTAATATGATGATAAACAAGACACACTGCCTCCTTAGTGATGCTGAGAGTAGTAAATTAGCTGACATTTATGAATGCTCTCAAGCTGAAAAGTACTCAGTGTTATTTTAACAATGGCTGAGGAAGACATGCTTAAGTATAGCTCTACTTCACACGCTTGTTGGGCTGTGATGAACAGGTTTCTACTGTGTGATCCTAGAATACTTTGGCAGTGGCCCATATACCAAGTTATGAAAAAAAGTGAATGAGCAAACATACATTCAGTGCACTGTGCCTGGCATAGCGGAGGACTCTGGAATTATAACACTTAAGTGCCTACACTTGGCGAATTAAACCATCTGAAAAAAATCACACTATGAGCTTTCTTTTTGTGTGATCTTTTGAAATTTATCTCAGGAGTAATTGAATTGTGCCTCAATGCACAAATGGCTTGACCATCCTGTCTCCCTGGTAAATGTGTGGCCATACTCATTCATTTTCCCTTTTTTCTTAACATCTTTTCTCCAACAAAGGGTTGCAGGCCTGCTGTTCCCTACCAAGATGTTAAAAGTTGACAGAGATCATAAACCTGTCTTGGATAATTTGCATTTCAAAGAACTCTTAAGTATCTGAATAAATAGAATGGTGGAATGTTTATCTATCTATTGTATCTAATACCTATATGGCATGTTAGCCCTGACAAGTTAATCACTACCTTATCAGTGCACAATAGTATTTGTAAATCTAGAATCAAACGTATTACAATGCAATTATCTGCTTATTTTCACATTCACCTGTATTCTCAGTGACTTAAGTGAATGAAGTGGGCATACAGAAAACATTTTCTTAATTGTGTTGGAGAGGTGGTGTGCTGTGAATGGGTGGTTGTTCCAAAGAATAGGCCTTGGCCATCTGGAGGTCCCGCACTAATAGGTCTTTTTTTATTACCAGGTGTGTAAGCTATAAAAATCAATACACAAGTGGCTGGTATATCTGGTAAGGACATCCTCAATTTGTGTTATGAAACCTTTGGTTGTGTATATACATACTCCTTTCCCTAAAAAAGTGAGATGGCACATAAAACCACACAGCTTAAGGTAATTTTAAGGGTCATGTGAATCAGCACACATGGAAATATAACTTTTATGTTGTTGGCCAGTGTCTTTTACACATGTCCTGTGACAGGCAACTTGCTCTTTTTAATATTAATAGTTTTATCCTGAATTGGAGATCTTTAGCAGTAAAAAAATTATTCTTCCTCTTGAAATCTCCCTAATGACTCCTCCACTGATTTTAGTTCTGGCCTTAAAAAGCCATTCAAAATAAAACCATTACCTTTTATGAGCCAGTCCTTGAGAAATTTTAAGACAGTTGTTATGACCTCCTAAATCTTGACTTCTGTATTTTCCAAACTAAATATTACCAGTTCTCCCAATTGGATGGCTAGCTCTTCGAAGACAAAGACCCTGTCCTGTCTACCTTTAAATTCCCAACCCCATATCTAAAATCTGTTCAGGTGCTTACAAGTTGAATGAAGGATGGATGGTTGACAGGAATAAAGGATGAATGAATTAGGAACCAAGACAATATTCCTTAGAACGACCTTCCCATTTCCAAAGAAGAAACAATATTCACCACATGGCAAGACTGACCGCCTCTGAGCTCAATGAGCATTCCAGGTTCAGTGACCATGTATGAGTTGCAGTGAGGAATTGCTTAAGGAATTCAGCCTCCCAGATTCTTTGCATCCTATTTAGCTGAGTTGTTTTCCTCCTTTCCAGAAAGTTAACAGAGGCTCTTCACTTCCCTGCATGTTCCACCTCACTCCTCCGCTGCTTCTTCTGGCCCCAGGTTCTTGCTGCTGATTTTCCTGGTGGCTCTTCTCTGTGGAGTGGTGTTCTTCTGCCTCCAGCGCCTGCTTAGGAGACGCCGAATGGATTCTCCAAGACGCACTCTGGCTGTTTTTGCTGTTGGAGACTTGGACCCTGTGTATGGTGAGCTGTCTGCACGGTTCTGTATATCTTCTTTGAAACCTTACAGTTTTATGGCAAGCTGAAATACTAACCTATGAAAAGGAGATTTGTGAACTTAGAACAAGACAGTTTATTGGAGACACAAATGTATGCATTGGGGAAAGGGTCTAAGTGAGTAAACTTCAGAAAAAGGCGACTTCAAAAGAAGAAAAGGGGTTTTAGGGAAATGACTCATAGTTGAGTATGGGGATATACCCTAAACCGATTTGCTCAGTCAACAAACAGCAGTGAAGAGATAACCAGGGCTGGTCATTCCCAGTGAGTGACCAGGTTTAAGGCATAGAAGAACATCTCTGACCTTTTGACATAAATCTCCTACCCTGTGTTCACGGTTTCACTTACTGAGCCCTCAGTGCCTTACTTGTCTGCAGTAACAAAGGATGCCCCTATTTTTTTCCAGTCTGCATGGGAAGGTGATGAGTGGAGGAAATTGAGGTCTTAGAGCTATTTGTAACTGCCAGCCTTGGCTGAAGTAGAAAAAGGATCACTTCCTGATTTCTGGGAGGTCATGAATTAAGTTCACTTCTTCATGTGAAGCACTGCCCTCATCCCGACTGTCTTTTATGAGACTTTCCCTCCAACGTACTGTGCTGTACAGCACAACTGCCTCAAGAGTGCTTGCTAAGTATTAACGGCTGCCTTCAGAAACTTGGGTTGGATTAAGGTTTTCAAAATGTGGATCAGGGCAGTTCCTAGGAAAACTAACAGCTAAATAGAAAGTAAGGTAAAAATAAACTTAAATGTTTTACTAACACATCTCAGCACTCTAAAATGCAGGGATTGTTTTCATTATTGGCTTTTTTTTTTTTTTTAGTCATTATATAATAAAGGAAGCACATTGTCAATTTGAGAAAAGGTTATTTTTGGAGAGACTAATTAAAGTCTCCACTGAAGAAAGCTTTCTCCTAAAATAAAAAATACTTTCCACTGAGTGTAGAGGTAAATGGGGTCACCAACCTTCTAGCAAAATAAATTAGTTATAAGATCAGCATGTTCACATTGCTCTGTTTTTCTTTGTTTAACTTGAGGTAATTTAATAAATAAATGCAATTACGTTTCTTTCAACTTGACTTGAGTTTCCAAAGAGGAGCATGCACCCTGGTCTTTTTAGCCCTTCTCTTACTCTGAGGAAGAATGTCTGAGTGGACACCTTGAATCTTGAAAGAATTCTGTTTTTAATTTGAAATAAGTTAGCTACCCAGTTATACTGTTAACCATTTTTAAGGCAGTTTGTGTGCCACAGCTATGTACCCATGTATCTACTGTTTTTATTTTCCTGCATGGTGGTTTACGTATATGCTTTGGGATTTTCCTGAAATCGCCTGAGTCAGTAATGTCAAGGCTGATAGATTCCCTCAGAGGGCTGCCTGTAAAGAGGGCACTGAGTGCACGGCATTCGGATCACATTCTTTGTAGTTCCCTGAAGACTTTACATATAGGAAAATAAAATACTTGGGAAAAATTGTTTTTTAAAAAAGAATTAGTCACCCTATTTTTTCACATCTACCAAGGGTTTGGCACTAGGTGAGGGATTGTTCAAGTACTAGCTGATTCCTATTTGAGTGACTATTATTTATCCTAGAGGATGGTATCCATTTTTCCCATTCTGCTGGTTAAGTATATCACATGGATCTTTGCACAAGATCAACTAATAGGTCTCCAATTTTCCAGAACTGAAGGTAGGGAGCCAGTGAAACTTGGAGCAGGGCACTCATGGCTGAGCCACCCCATCCCTGGACACTAAGTACAGCATGACGCCCTGAGCCTCCAGACATTTCCATAGGATAATTCTTTGAAGGTAGAGATTGAGCTCTAGAATTCTCTTTCCCTTCTTCTTACTAGCCTTTCCTTCCTAATCCTGCTGGTATAGCTCTGGATCTTACTTCACTCAAGAAATATTTAAACTCCTCCCTACTTTACATTGTATTACAAAGAACATTCCTATTAATTTCCATCTGAGAGACCACAGGCTCAGTTGCCCATTCCCATTCATTTTCTTCTCCCTTGCCTACACTGGGTTTGGTGTTACATTATCCCACCCAGAACCCATCTTCCAGTCCACCCAGCAAAGCTCAGATGGGGTACAGACAGTGAGCACCCATTCACATAGCCTGTGACGTGGTTGTAGATCCTAGAGTTGTGTTTCTTGGCAAAGCTTTTTCTCCTCTCTAAAACAGAATCAATAGAGTGATTTAAGAACTGTTATTCTGTGTGATCTCTAGTGACCTCTTCTGAACTAGTAATTTCCAGAAATAAATTACAGGAAATCAGTATTTTAAGACCCACACTGGACTTCTTTTCCCAACTGAATCCTCATTACACTTTCAATCTCCAACCAAATGATTCATTCTGCCTAATATTTCCGTAAAAGGAGCTGTTCTCCAAAAGGGCAGTGAGTGGGCCACAGGAACTTTGAATAGCTACAGAAGGAGGTAAGGGCCCAAACCACAGCTTTTAACTCCACAGCCCCTCACAGAGTGTGTGCTCACAGGGTGGAGCTGCATCCAGTTGTGGCCAGACCCACATGCCCACACAGCAGGCTGAGAGGTCGCACTTGGGGTCTCCCTCACAGCTGCTGTTCAGAGGGGCAGAGGGAAATGGGAGCTCACTGAAAGACACCAATGACCTGATCAAATATGATAGAGGGTTTCTGGACTTCCTGCCACCCCTCGAACACAAAGTGTTCAAGATGGGATGTTCCCTCCTGATTACAGAATATAGGAACTGGGTCATTTAAAACATTTAAATGGAAAAACTAGATTTACTCTGCTAACTGTGGGTTCCTCTTGGAACTTTATTTTATTTCTTCAGATATTATTTCACATTATTATTACTATTTGTGGAATATATTAGTTGAAATAGCTCTACTCTTCTGACTTGTGGGTGAGAGATATGACTCCCAGGATCCCACAAAGCTGCACTCAACAGGGAAGAGCTGGGAGGAGAGTTCTGACTATTGAGACTGGAGAGGACTGAACTTTACTGATGTTAATATATATATATATATATATATATATATATATATATATGTATGTATCTTGTTAGCAATTCCTGACAATATTATAGGGCTCAGGTGGCCAATTCTCTTGATTAGAAATATTCAAGAGATAAAGGAAAACACTGGGCTTGGGACCCTGCTAAAAGGTGCATAAAGGAGGCCTTGTCTTCGCAATGTGTGATGAGATCTCTGTCTGGGAAAGATCCTTAGGCATCTCAGGCAAACTCCCAGGCCCCAGTTGTATCTCCTGGACCAGTAATTGTGACTCTTCATAGCTCTCTGATGATTCAGTGCTCAGACTTCTCAGGCTTCCTTCCCTTTTCTTCAGATCTATGTTTCCATGGCCATAACATGTTATAATAAAGCCCTGTATGCACCAAAAAGGGAGAGAGAATCCCTCTGAGGTACCCTTGGAGTGTAAGGAGGAAGGGGAGGTACGGTTAGAGACAGGGGAGGAGGAGGAAGGCCAGAAGAAAGGCAGGAAGGCAGAGGAAAGGGGAAGAATGAAGAGAAAGAGAAGGAACCTACAGCTTGAAGTTGCACATATTGAAGGACTAAAATTAAAACCTGTTTATTTACTAAAACCATCAAAATCATGTTCTTTTTCTCTGCTGTGGGGCCACCTCCTCTTCCTGGAGCAGCTGACCCCAGGGGTCCCCTAGACAGTCCTTCCTCCGTTAGCACCCTGCCTCCGTGCCGACTCCTCCTCGGGATGTGCCTCCCACTGGCCGTCTCTGCTGTACCCCCAGAACGGATCCTATGTCTCCTTGAATGGGATCAGCTGTGAAGCAGTCTCTGAGACCTTCTTGCTCCCTTTTCTCAGCCATCAGAGCCTAACAGTTCTAGTATAATTCAGGTAGCTTGTATCAGTACTATATTAGGGGTAAGAATGATTTGTTGTTTCAATATTTTATTTCAGTATCTTACACATTTTAATGATGTTTTTTGAATCCCTCATATCTGATAATTCAACAAAAAATACAGATTTGCAATTAGCTGGGGTTTTTTTCCTCAAATGTAAATAGAGAGTGAGACCACATACTTGGCCACAGGAAGTGATTTTTAAAAGAATGCATACAAACTCTTAGTAAAGGTGGGGAAAGAAAACAAGAAAATCATGAGAATTCTCTATAACTCTCTGTATTCCAAATCGGGCTTAGAGCTTTTACTGTAGAAGACCAAGGACTATACAACAGGATGAATAGGTAGGAAATACAAGTGATATAAAAAGAAGAAAAAGAAAGAAGCTGGGGTTTGTTAGATTAATTGTTTTGTTTTTTAAATTTGTATTTGAAAAATAAATGACAAAGGAGTGTTAAAGTTTATTACAAACAAAAGTTTCTTTTAAATTCACCAAAAATAAGAGTGAAAATAAGTTTTCATGGAAAATAAGATTGTGAAGCTGAATAAAAGCCATTATTTATGAAGAAGTAAGGCATTTAAAGATAATGAAGAAGGAAACATTGGGGTCTAGGAGGTGAGAAGACAAAGGACTTGAGGTAGAAAATCAATCTAGTGTTCATTAGAAAAGAGAGAATTTGAGAACATAGGAGAGGGATCCCCACCATTGTCTGACCATATTTTTAAACAAAGAATAATAATGTACTGTAAGATCCCTACCAAACGCTTTTCTATTTCCTGTGGATCAGATCCAGATCTCCTCATCACTGAGAAGGCAGCAAGTAGGTCCCTTGCCTTTCCTGGGAAGGTGGCGAGGTGAGCCCAGCTCCACGTGGCTGATCTCCCTGTAAATGCTGCCTTTCACTATCCAATCTCCCTGACCTGATTTTTTCCTGCAATTTCAGAGATAATCTTCCTTTTCCTTATTTCTTATTTCAGGGCAAATATAAATGCTAGCCTTGGAGCAATGGTTAAACATGAGGGGAGGAGGAGAGGACTGGACAGAGACAGACAGGAACCAGACTCTTACATGCTAGCTCCTTTCTCTCTCACCTATCTTCTTTTAGGATCTTTTTGAAGTGTTATTTTCCTGTTCTTTATGTTCTCCATGTAAATATTCTGTGACTCATTTTAGGTAAGGGAAAAGGGAATATTTCTTTCACACACTTTCATGGGAGGGCGTGATAATAGTAGCAGCTCACATTTATTGAGCATTTACTATGTGCCATGCACTGTGCTAACACTCGACATCTCCAATCTCATCCTACAACTCTCTGAGGTGTTCACCATCATTCTGAACACTTAGAAGATGAAGAAATTAAGAAACTGGTAGAGCAAGCAGCACAGGGAGCAGGCTGTAGAACTGTGACTCAAAGTCACCGTGTTGTTAGCCTCTCCCATAGAAGAGAACGTGATGAGAGCAAAGTGGAAAGAAGAAAGAGGTAAAAAAGGTGCTGAAATAAGGCAAGCCTAGTGGGGTGATTCTTAGTGATGTCAGAAATTTGAACTCTGGCTGTAAAAAACTCAGCAGTGGGTATATTGGTTTTACAAGATTAAACAACAAACTCTTAATACCTTCACCAACAGTTCTGTAGTAACTATTGAATTTTGGCAGACATTTTTATCTGAGTTCTCTTAGGTTTTTTATTTGTCAGAAGATAAAAATAATGCTTGCTCCCCTCCCAGTCACATGATACAGTTTCCCCAGCTACCTGAAAGCAGAGCATTCATATGAAACCTTTCATAAGCTGAAATGGCATAAAGCAAAGAAGCAATTATCATTAATTAAAATAGAAACTGTTTGGGCATTCCCAGACCCCAAAAATAATTTCTGTTAGCCTTTTCTGATACCTTAGGGCACATCTTGCTAAATGGATGCACAAAATAAATTGAGATGAAGCACAGCTGCTCACAGACACAGTTCAAAGCTATGCAGGTTGATGCTCAGATGCCGAGGGTGGTTCCTAGGGAAGAGCTTGGTGGGGCCGCTCTCCCTGCCTGGGTGCACACTGCCTCTGCAGGGGCTCACTGGAAAACAAGCCCTGGACACTGTCTTTGTGTTTCACCTTTGTAAAAACAAAAATCCTCTTCAAGCTTCTTTTGGTTTCTGAAAACAAGTGCTGCTAAGGTAGGTCCTTTGTTAAACTGGAGTGGCATAAAGTGAACTTTTGAAAAGCGGGGAATACCTGTATTATAGGTAAACATGTTTTGAAAAAAAATGAAAATTGATATAGTATGTGTTTGGTTTTACAAAAGCTTTCTGAGCACATTACTTTAGTTATTGCTTATCAAATGAATGCCCTGTGGTTTTCATAATGATTTTAAGAGCAATGGCTAAATTCATAGTAAGGAAATAATAAAACTTTCCTACCATAGAGAACCATTGTCAATATCCTGTTACCTGGAGCACAACACTGATAATGGCAGAGGGAAATAAGTTTGAGCTAATAATTGTGGTGAGTCAATCTGGTCCACCACTCCCAGAAAAATGAAAGCTCAGTTACCATTGAGTTTATATTGAATACACCAGGAATAGTTCATCTAGAAAATGGCCTATGCTCAGGACAAGTATCCACAATGGAGGGAAGGATGGGGCAAGTACAATTTCCAATGATCACTGTTTCAGCACGTCCCTCAGACCCAGCTTATGTCATCCTAAACTTTCTGACTACAAGACTCTAACTCCACAAAATTTCTCATCTAATAATCTCTGTGCTATTATATCAGTAATGATAATGATGAAATCATTTAACCATTAAAATAAGATAGATTGGAAAATAATATTGAAAAAATATTGCAAAGGAAATACATGCATACTCCTATTGTACAATGCAGTTCTTGATATTTAGTAATATACTAATAGTACTACTACAATAATGGCAATTAACCTTTAATGGGCAATTGCTGTGTGTATGGCTTTAAGTACTTTACAATTATTTAGCCTTGCCTTTATAGCCATATATACCATCTATATCCTTTTATTGAATGGAAGAAAACTGAGGTACAGAAATATTATGTAACAGGCTAGAAGTAGATTATTCAATTAAATAAACAGCTGCTTAAGAAAGTGCTGAACCAGGAGGTGAGACTTATATTCAGATTATGCCTCTATCCTTCATATATTATATTAAAATTTGAATTATTATACTTTGCTCTGTGAACCACTAAGTATAAAAACAAATATATAAAGATCCATGATTCTAAATAAACATTATCCACTCCAAATTAATGATGTTGAATAATCTACACATAGCTTCCAGTGATGCAGCTATTGTCTGATATTCAACTATTGTTTGAATTGTTTTGATAATTGTTTTGATAATCTCTGAAGTGGTATCAGATCTTAATCCTTTAAGGAATCGGTCAACAAACTTTTTCTATTAAAGGCCAGATAGGAAATATGTTTGGCTTCACTGACCATTTGGTCTCTGTGGGGACTACTTACTTCTGCCACTGTAGTGCAAAAAGCAGTCAGTGACAATATGTAAAAGTATAGGCATGGCCATTCCAATTAAATGTAATGTACAGAAACAGTCAAAGAGCTAGATTTAGTTCAAATATCTAGTTGTTATTATTATTATTATTATTATTATTATTGTGTATTTACAGGTGTTACTTGTTTTGGGAAGAAACAGTCAAATCATTCCAAGTTAGCTGAACACTCAGGTGAAAAAATAAGAAAAAAATATAGAAAGATGGTTCTGATATATTACTTTTAATTCCTGTGTAACTCAAAAATAGTCTTTCAAATGAAGACTGATATATTTCCAAAAAGCTGTTGGACTAAGTGTGTGGTCTCTCAAGGTGATCAGTTTGAGGAAGAACGTGCATGTGTTTTTATATCGAAAGGCTTGTCGTGTGCATAATCTGAAAGTGAAGAACTTTGATTTCAGAGCATTTTTAAAAATTTGAGAATGGTTTTTCTTTATTGTGTGTGCCTACTTTGTATGCAAACTTTTCACAAGTTAACATCTTTACTGTTCATTATAAAGAAATATTTAAAGCAATTAATTGCATTAGTTGCAGTTTGCAGAGCAAAAAAATAAAATAATGAAATTTGGATGTACTATAGTAATGTTTCTATTGAGACTTGCATTTCCCATAATGGGAGCATTAGGAGAAATACCATTAGTATTTACAGGAAATCTTGTCTTCTGATCCACCAAAAAGGGTATTCCTCCTAGTTTCAACTGCTAAATTGTAAATGCATCTTGATGGGCTACTCAGGGATGATATAATCAATTCATGAGAGCAAATTTTCTTGCTATAGTGGCTAAACTATCACTGCAGGGAGCAAGATGGTTGTAAATTTTTTCTCAAGGGTACAAATAATTTTCTGTTGCTTCAGTGATCCAAGAAATGCCAGATTTTATTAGGCAGTTCATGTACTTCTGTTTTATGCTGACAAGAAAGATTACAAGTCCCCATTTCTCTCTTTCCAGGGACAGAAGCAGCTGTGAATCCAACTGTTGGAATTCACCTTCACACTCAGAACCCTGAACTGTGTCCTGTCCCATGTGTTGACAAGTTAGGCCCCCCAACTCCATATGAAGAAATTTTGAAATCAAGTCAATTTTAGATCTGGATCTGGATCATCAACTGAAAATATTAGAAATATTTTAAATTCCAAAACATCCAAAATTTAGGAACACTTCTTCCATTTAGTGGAATTATCAGAGGCTAAGCAATATAGTCTGAAGAAGATGAATAGACAAAAGTATGAATTCAGGGAATGAATTTTGGTGAGGGAGATGTTTAATAAATTAGTGAACTCTCAGTGTATCACTGCTGTGTTATATTTTGTGCTACACAGCCAAGTTAATGTTTCTCCACTAGCACTTTAATATGCAGTAATTAATGCATGGAGTGGTTGCCACTAGGTTTAGGAATCCACTACAGTACACAAGATAGCTTTTCATGCCTCATTATCTCTGTTTTAATCTGACCTCCCCCCTAGTAGGGAGTCAATAAAAATTATCATAAGTTAACAATGGATCAAACAAAGATTCAGACACATCTAGACCCAGAACCAGAAAGAGAATATTTGAATTAGGATGAAGGGAGAGAGTAGGAAGAAGGAACATTTGGAATTGAAGGGTAAAGGATGAATAAAGAAGATTAAAGGTTGTTGTATATCTCAGTACAAGGAGTTGTATATCTCAGCCTGAGGAGGGAGAAAGAGTAGATAGAAGTGAAGATTACCTAAACTGGGGCATGCATAAGACCACCTGGAGAATGTGGACAAGAAGGAGAAGATTCCCATTTTAGGTGGGTCAATGTGGCCTCTGGAGTTCACAGGCTTCCTCTGGTGCCTCAAGACTTGGCATTGCCTGGAGAACCATTATAAGAATCTGTAAATCCAGGAAGGGGAAATCCTGGGGCAAAATGCCTTTGAACCTGAAATCAGTCAATGGGAGAAATAAAGTTTAAAACCCAATTATTGCTTACAAGGAGTCATCCTGCATCTCTCCTGCTGTGGCAAAAGCAAATAAGATTCCCCCCAATCTCTGCTCCAGCTAAGCCCTCACTCACCCATGTAATTAATCATTGATATGGAGACGGACTACTTCTCTCCACCCCTTGGAAACACCTGTTGATATGGAGATGAATTAAAGTCAGGCAATAGATTCTGAAAATAGTGGAATTTTAACTACAGCCTACCCATCCTCTGCTCCCTCCCCATCTTCCACAATGGTCCCTGGGTGAGAAAACTGGGGCACTGTAACCAGACTAATGATGTACAATAGCAACAGCAATAAAACCATGATAATACTCAAGCCAGAGGATTCAGCTAGGTTCAAAGTCCAATGGAAATTAAGTCCATAGCTTGCCCATTCCACAGGTGGTCAGTAACTGAACAGGTAGGGAGTTCAGAGCAATCATCATGTGGCAGCTGCAGCCAGGGGGTGCATCCAGGTCACAAGTACTGTAGAAGAAAATAACCTTAAGGGCGATAAGACACATGTTTTAATGATACCAGCATAGGCAGTTTTGTTCATCAAGTAGGATACATGCAAAAGAATGGTCCTGTAATAGGATAGTGGCAGGAATGGGATCTCATCCTGGTCTAGTATACCAGACTTTCATCCACTCCCTGTGAGAGTTAAAGATTGGTCAATATATAGTAGGGCTGTGGGAGGTATATGCACTGGCCGTAAAGAGAAAACAAAACTTCCCCATAAGATGCTCTTACCTCCTGGACATTTTGGGTACATTACCATGATCTTTGGGGGCCACTCTGCTGTTACTCCAGGAATACATGAGGCCAGCTTCCAGGCCTTTTCCCCAAGGTTCTGGAAGGGCCAATCACCACTGGTTCATGTGTTGAAAAGTCCAGGACCACATCCATTCAACAGCGTCTCCAGGCTTTAATGAAGTTGGGGCTGGCAGCAGGATGTTGCTCTGCTGGCCATATCCTGGCTTCAATAATTCCTTTTTGGTTTGCACATACAGCTGTATAGGAGAGGCAACAATGTGTGTTAGAATATCCACAGGGCTCAAGGCTCCTTTCTGGGGCTTCTCATTCAAACACTGTACCGCGTCCATAAGTGAACTGATCAGCCCCATAGATTATTGGTGTCCGACTTCAGGTCAGATTTCAACAAATGGTTGTACCTCTCTATCATGCCTGCCCTGGTAGGGTTATATGGAACATGAAACTTTCACTTTCTTTCTAATTGCTACAACCATTCTTGTAATGCATGTCCAGTAAAGTGGGTGCCTTGATCACTCTCAATTGCCATAGCCTGCAAAAAGACACTCTAGGCCCCTCCTGGTGATTTGCTAATCTGCACGATGTGCAGGAAAAGCAACCAATAGACCAGTAGCCATGTCCATACAAGTCATGGCATACTGATATCCTTTTGATATAGGCAGAGGCCCAATAATAGTCTATCTGCCACCTGACAAGGGTATCGGCCCCTTTACTATTGTCTCATGTTGCTACAGGACTCAGTGTAAGTCCTTCTTGGAGCACATGAGGCACTCCTTCCTGGCTCTGCTGACTTCTTCAAAGGTCAATGGCAAGCCTCACTAATGGGCTACAGCCCACATTGTCTTTTGCCCTGCGTGCAACAAACACTGATGTAACCTTGGGCTACATCAGAAGCAGGCTTTCCTTCTAGCCAATACACCTGGGCCAATGTGTCTGCTTCATCATTCCCTGGAGATGCCAAAGGCAAATGGCCAGTCACATGATATATGGTAACAGTCTTAGTCTGACCAGAGGCCCATAGGTCTTATCACAACTCTTGCCCCTAAAGGGGCGGGTGACCAACCATCCAGTTGGCATGGTACCATGTTGGTAGCCACAGAGTCAAGCCCCAATAGACAGGCCAGCTGTCAGTGCAGACAACTATAGGGGAGGGTTCCTAAGTGATCATGAGCCGTACTGCCCACAACTCAGCCCACTGGCCGCTCTTCCCCTCACCATCCTCTATCCATATTGTTTCAGTCTTCAGATTGAAAGCCACAGCCCTCCACTTCAGGGGCTGCTGACAACTGGAGCTGTCTGTATGCCAAGCATCTTCAGGTATAGGGTCTTTTCCCTCCTGATAAGGAGTATCAGCTACCAATGGCTCAAAAAAAAGTTCTTCCTGCTTTTGACTGGTATAGGTCACTGACCCCAATAAGAGTTGGGGTTCTCCACTTAAGGGGCTTGTAGAGAGGGTGCTACACTGCTGTAAATAGGTGCTCCATCAGGCAGTGTAGGCATCTGTGCCACACCACTCCATGGCCTTTGGATCCAGTCTTGCACTCACCCCACAATGGGATTGGTGGTTGTTACCTTGGTCAGAGCTGTTCTGGTGATGGGCTCCATAGCCAGCAAGACATGGTACACAGCAGCCAGTTCTTCTCTATCAAGGTGTACCAGATCTCTGCTCCTTTCCATAGTTGTGACCAGAATCCAATAGTTTGGTGTGTCTATTCAAGCCATTTCCAAATACCACATCCATAACCATCTTCAGTTATATGAACATCTATCTCACAGGGCTTTGATGAGTCCACTACAGTCAAGACCTGTATGGCCTTGACTGTTCATTTAGCAGCAGTAAAAGCAGCTGCACCTGTCTCATCCCAGTCCCACCTGATAGATACCCTTTCTTACCAACCAGTATAAGGGCTTCAGAATTTGTGCCAAGGGCAGGATAAACACTCTCCAATAGCCCAAAATACCCCCAAAACTCTTGTAAAACTGCCACAGTGGTAGGGGTAGGGAAAGCCTGGACCTTGTCTATGACTGCTTCAGGAAAAACTTTAGTTCTACCCAACCAGACAACCCCCAAGAATTTCACAGACAAACCAGGTCCCTAAACCTTGGTACTGTTCACAGCCCATCCTTTCTCCTGTAGATGCTGCAGCAGTCTAGGAACTGCCTCTTCTAAATCTGCAAGAGAATCAGACATGAGCACAATATCATCACTGTAGTGATACAGCCACACCATTTGCTGTCCCTTCCATGTGGCCAAGTCCTGGGCTACAACCCTGGGCTACAAGTCCATGACAGATGGTGGGACTGTGGAGGCGTCCCTCTGGAAGGACAGTGAATGTCCATTGCCAGCCTTCCCATGTGAAGGCAAACTGTTCCTTACTTTCCTGTGCTAAGTTAATAGAGAAGAAAGCATTAGAAAGGTCTACTACACAGTGATACATTCCCCATTCATGACTGAATGTGTCCATAAGGGCTGCTATAGAGGGGACAGCAGCATGCAAAGGGGGTGTGACTTTCTTCAATTCCCTGCAGTCCACAGTCATATGCCAGGAGCCTTCTGGCTTTTTCACTGGCTACACTGGGGAATTAAAAGGACTATGAGTGGGCTTTATGATGCCCACTGTCTCCAACTCCTGTAGAGTTTCTACAGTTTCCTTGTGCCCCCCCTAGGCAATTTATACTGCTTAGTATTTGTCACCTGCTGAGGTAGAGGCAGAGCTATAGGTGGGTGCTTAGCATGTCCCCTCAGAACTGCCTTTACAACATGTACCCTCAGTCTGAGTTCAGCTGCAGTGGTCTGCAACCACAGGCCATGCAGTTTATCTATCAAAATATATTCAGGGATGGGAGAAATGTACACAGTATACTCCCTTGGGGGTAAACACCTTATCCCCTATGGGATTTGGGCTTTCTTCACTCTAATTGCCTTACCCCCATAGCCATCTATCACTGCAGGGGTTCTGGGAAAATGCTCAGGGTTGCCATTAATCAGAGAACACTCAGCTTCTATGTCCATCAGCACCAGGACACATTGTACATTCACAGGGGACCAAGGAATTGTTAATTCTACATGTGGCCTCTGGTCCCCACCACATCCCCCAAAGTGGGAAACTTGATGCCCCCTCAGTTGAACCACAATGCCCAATTGTGGGGGTGAGGGCCCAGGCAAATCCTGAGTACCTTTGACTCTGGTTTCCATGCTCTGGACCTCAGCGGCTGGAACTGCTGCTCTGGCTTTAATTGGTGCCACAGTTCTAACAAGATCCTATTGGGCTGCCTATCAAGTTTTTCTTTCACTACCCTGGCCTTTATCGAATCAACCCACATCTGGGTCCTCAAGACCTTTATGGGGTCTTTTGCACCTCTCCTTTCAGTCGTAGCCCATATTTCCTTCTGTGCACTTATTGTTCCAACCTCCCAGATCTGCCAAAGTACAAGTAGCCTCACCTGTGGGTTGCAAAAGTAGTCACTAAGGGGCCCAAGGAGATATGTGAGAGCTGTATGCAGCACAAGATTTATAATTTCTATGGTGAACAACTCCTTACTGGGGCCTTGGGGGTCCATATAAAATATTCAAAAATTGGATATTTTTCATACCCAATTCCCGCAACACCTGTTGGAGCTTTACATACTTTTTCCAGCTAGTGGGTAAATATGGTAAATCACCCTGATAGGTCAAACTTGCCTGGTGGCAGCTGTCAGCCATTCCAGAAGTGTCTGATTCCCTGAGGCATGACGGGCACTTTGCAACCATTGCTGGAGGGAAGAGGGAGTCATCAGGGAAGCCATTCTACTCATTTCAGTAACCAACATAACAATGTTTTCCACCCTCATATCCCAGAGATGTAAAAGCCATGTAGGCAGAGATTCCCATGGCTTCTACCTATACTGTATGCTCATGTACACCAACTCATCCTGGGTATAGGGGCAGAGCATGGAGTGCTCCACAACCTGGGGAAGGGTCGGCTTCTCCCCCTGAAAAGTCTGCGGTTGATTTGTTTTTATTTTTTTAATTACAGCTTGGTGGGTCTTTAATACAGGAGAGGCTGGTGCCTTGGGCGGTGGCCTTGGCAGCAGATCAGCCTTTGGCCCTGACTCCTAAGCTTCTCTCCTGCCCCCGGTGGGCACTGGCTCCTCCACCATCTCTGGGGCTGAAGGCAATCGCTCTTTCCTCCCCCTCCCACATTGGCGTCCTGCAATGCACCTTCTCCTGCTGCCTCCCCCTTCACCGCTGCTGAAGAATCTTCCAGGAGCATGATCCATTTTCTCAGAAACTGTCTCTCTTCCTTAAGGG